GATGTTCAAATCCTTGGGTTCCTGAACCCCTGTGGGACACCTGGAAGAAGCTCCTGGCTCCTGGCTTTGGATTGCTGCAGCTCCAGCCAATGCAGCCTTCTGGGGAGTGAACCAATGGAAGGAAGACCTTTCTCTCTGTCTCTCCCTCTCACTGTCTGTAATTCTATCTCTCAAATAAATAAAAAGTTAAAAAAAATAAGGATGCTGAGTAGCAACCCAACCTTCCACCAACCAGGTGCATTTCCATCCCGGGTCACAACAAAAACAATGTGCTGGAGCATGGGTAGGAGGGAGGGTGCTGGAAGTGCCACTATGTTCCTATAATGGTATAAAGGAAATAGATGAAACATGTATAACATAAACAAAATATGTACCAAAGAAAAAAATCCAAGCATTCATAGCAAAAGTCGAGGAAAAGAGAAAATCACACTGTATTTTGAAGGAAGAGTAGCAGCTATGAACATAAGGGGAACCAGAGAAGTAAAAAACGCTTTTTCAGAAAAGGCAGCACCACGGTGGGGTGAGTGAGATCCAGGTTCTCCAGCACCACTGTCGCTGAGACTCTTGGTGCAGCCATGGCAGAACCACAGCCCTGGGCCAGCTGTCTCTGTTCTCAATAGCTGCTTGGATGCAGAACCAGCTCCAAGGATTTTCCATTGTAGCAGACCATGCCACAAATTAAGGATCTGAAGAAGTTGCTGCATGGAGCCTGTCCTGTGGCATAGTGGCTAAAGATGCCACCTGAAACACTGATATCCCATATGGACACTGGTTTAAATCCCAACTGCTCCATTTCCAAACCAGCTCCCTGCTAATGGCCTGGAAAAGCAGCAAAGGACAGCCAAAGCCCTTGGGCCCCTGCACCCGTGTGGGAACCCAGAAAAGTTCCTGACTCCAGTCCTGCCATTGGGACCATCTAGGGAGTAAACATGCAGAAGGAAGATTTCTCTCTCTCTCTCTCTCTCTCTCTCTCTCTCTCACACACACACACACACACACACACACATGTCTCTAATTCTTCCCATAAAATAAATAAATCTAGAAGAAGAGGAGGAGGAGGAGGAGAAAGAGGAAGAGGCAAGATGAAGGAGGAGGAGAAATTCGACACCTATCCCCTTGAACTCACACCAAATGATATTCAGTCATCCCCAAATGAAACTCTGTGAGAACAAAAGTTCATTTTCCTTTGTCATTACCCCCATCAATAGGAATAGCTCTTCTAATTCTCATTATCTTGCTCTGCAATGTTTTATTGCCCGCCTCCAGACTCCTATAGAAGAATCTATCAGTCTCCATTCAACAATGACTAGTGCAACTCATTCTTAAATAACAATGCCCAACTTTAGAGAATGAATCCAATAGCTAGATCATAATATTCATTGCTTAAACAAACCTACTAGGACTGTTACTCGTTCACTTATACTCACAACCCAGTTATTAATAAAGTTAGAAATTGCTATCCCACCAAGAGTTAAAGCAGTGGTTACTGGCTTCTGTCCTAAAACAAAACTATTTCCGGTGCCGTGGCACACTAGGCTAATCCGCCACCTGTGGCGCCGGCACCCCGGGTTCTAGTCCCGGTTGGGGCGCTGGATTCTGTCCCCGTTGCTCCTCTTCCAGTCCAGCTCTCAGCTGTGGCCCAGGAGTGCAGTGGAGGCTGGCCCAAGTGCTTGGACCCTGCATCCGCATGGGAGACCAGGAGGAAGCACCTGGTTCCTAGCCTTAGATCAGCGCAGCATGCCAGTCGCAGCATGCCAGCCGTAGTGGCCACTTCGGGGGTGAACCAATGGAAAAAGGAAGACCTTTCTCTCTCTCTCCCTCCCTCTCTCTCTCTCTCTCTCTCTCTCTCTCTCTCTCTAACTCTGCCTGTCAACTAACTATCTACAGCCCATCTCCGCCCTCAAGGCAACCATTCCCCTTTCATTCCTATATCAGTAATTATCAAAGCTGTCAACTTAGTTTTTTATTTATTGACATACTAACTATCCATATTTACGGGGTACAATCTAATATTTTGATGAATGAAGACATTTACACAGCCCTGGCCCCATGAAGAGCCAGTATCACAGCAGGCTGCTTGCAATTCCATTTTCTTGGTGAAGCCACATAAGTTTTAACATCTATTTACCCCAAAACAGCCTAAATTGAATTTCATATTCTCCTTATTGCAACAGTCCTAGAATTCACTGTGGTGGCCCGCGCCACGGCTCAACAGGTTAACCCTCCGCCTTGCAGCACTGGCACACTGGGTTCTGGTCCCGGTTAGGGTGCCGAATTCTGTCCCGGTTGCCCCTCTTCTAGGCCAGCCCTCTACTATGGCCCTGGAGTGCAATGGAGGATGGCCCAAGTCCTTGGGCCCTGCACCCATATGGGAGACCAGGAGAAGCACCATGCTCCTGGCTTTGGATCAGAGCGATGCGCCGGCCGCAGCGCGCTGGCCGCGGTGGCCATTGGAGGGTGAACCAACGGCAAAAGGAAGACCTTTCTCTCTGTCTCTCTCTCTCACTGTTCACTCTGCCTGTCAAAAAAAAAAAGAATTCACTGTGGTTAACTGCCTTGCCCAAGCTGAGGACCTGCAGCTGGGAAGTCAGAGTCAGGATTCTAAGCGAGGTCAGCATGATTCCACAGCTTCTATTTCTAACTACGCTGCAAGAATGCCTGGTAGCTGCATATTTGAGGTGGTTCCAATTAATTGTAAATTATTCTGTATTTGAAAAATCGGAACATTTGGGTTTAAAAATGGTTACCATTGGCATTAAGCAGTTACATTGATCTCTTCTTTTAAAAATATTTTTCTATTTGAAAGTCGGAGTTAGGGAGAAATAGAGATAGAGATAAATAGATCAATCTGCCATCTGTTAGTTCACTTCCCAGATGGCTGCAATGGCTGGGGCTGAGCCAGGATGAAGCCAGGAAACTGGAGATAAATCTAGATCTTCCAGGTGGGCAGCAGGAGTCCAAATATTTTGGCCATTTTTGGCTGCTTTCTCCAGGCCATTAGCAGAGTGCTAAAGCAGAGGTGGAGCAGCCAGGACACAAACCAGTGCCTGCAGAGATGCCAGCATCACAGGCCATAGCTTTACTGGCTATGCAATAGCACTGACCCCACACATCTATCATGTCTACACACTAGTATACACCCATTCCTCAAAGCTGTATTATGTATGTGCTCCAGATCTGCGACCCATTGCCTCCACAACAGATTGAAACACAGTCGATGTTAGCCCTTACTTATTCCTGGTGGCCTTGAACTGACAGGCATCCCTTTCCTGAAAGGCTTCTACTCTAAAGACTGAGACTTTCAATCCACAAACACATCCCATCCCCTCGTAATGACACTGTCACCTCCCCAAAAGCTGCCCGCGGTACTCACATTAACGTCTTTGCATTCTGAGGACAGCCCTGATTCTCAGCTCTAATGTGGAAACTGACCCATTCCTAATTAAGTCAATCAAATGCCAGCCTGCTGGTGGGGTTTCTGCTGGCTCACTCGTGTCCAACAATGTCTCTCCCTGTAACCATTTACCAAATGATGCTTCACACAAAATTATCAGCTTCCATCATAACCATTTTAGGATTCCATCAACTAATATACAATCCTAAAACCAGATTTTCCTCGCCTTCAAATTCTCTAATCATCTAGTTTTTCCCAACAATCATGCATTGCCAATCACATTTCTTTTCTTTTTTTTTTTTTTTTTTTTTTGACAGGCAGAGTGGACAGTGAGAGAGAGAGACAAAGAGAGAAAGGTCTTCCTTTACCGTTGGTTCTGCGGCTGGTGCGCTGCGGCCAGCACACTGCACTGATTGGAAGCCAGGAGCCAGCTGCCTCTCCTGGTCTCTCATGCGGGTGCAGGGCCCAAGCACTTGGGCCATCCTCCACTGCACTCCCGGGCCACAGCAGAGAGCTTGACTGGAAGAGGAGCAGCTGGGACAGAATCCGGTGCCCCGACTGGGACTAGAACCCGGGGTGCCGACGCCACGGGTGGAGGATTAGCCTAGTGAGCCGCGGCGCCGGCCTGCCAATCACATTTCTTGCAAGCCAAATTCAATCATCGCTAATATTGTACAGAATCTGACTGGAAAAAATGAGCCCCAAAATATTTCCCCTCCCAAATAACAGCCTGAACTACAATGTCAAATAGAGAGTCTTAGTTACACTGCATTTCTTCATTCCCTCATTTCACGTTGATTAACCACATCACCAGCCATCTAATGCCCCCAGAAAATGTAAGTCACAAGAAACACAGTAACAATGACCAAGCACCCACAGCCCTCCATAACGACATAATCGCCCACAAAACAGACTCTTCCCCAAGACCTCAAAAATCAATCTTCTGAATTTTTAAAATTAAAAGAAATTTCTACCCCATCATAGTCCACCATTCACATAATTTACTCCATAAACAATCCTAAAATCAATGACTCCCAAATGCCCACACTCGGCCCCAAGTTCCAGGAGACTTCCGTAGCGTTACAGTGACATAACCCAAGAGAACCAAGATACCCCTCAGTCACAAACACTGTTCACCCTGAAAACGACCCCAAACTGAACCGACAGCACAACCAACGCTCCACGGACAACATCCCAGACCCCACAAGCAGAAGCTGGTGGGAAAGCGACAACACAGCCCACAAACACGTACTCCATAAAATATAAAATCAATCCATCAAGAAAACCAATGCGCAGCTCGGGTCCCAGTTCTCAGACGGAAGCTCCCCCGGCCGCTGACAGGAGAAACCCTCATTCCAGTTCGCCCCCAGGAGCTTCATGGCCGCGAGCAGCGCCTGCCACAGGGCGCCCAGCGGCGCGGCGACGCCCACAGCCCGCGTCCGTCCTCCCGGCACGCACGCCCCGCGCCCTCCACGCCTCTCCGGCGGCTCCCACCTCCCTGAAGGAGAGCGCCCGGGCCCGGCCAGGCCCCACGGACGCGCCACAGACGCTGACGCGACGCCGGGGAGCTGGGGCAGCCGTCCACGGGAGAGTTCTCCTCACGCACCCGCAGACCCGCGCTCTCTCCAGTCGGCCCTCTCCGCGGCAGCTCCACGTGCCTGGCTTCAAGCCTGGCCTCCGCATGTGCTGCAGTCCACAGCACACGCCAACGGACGACAACAAATCCAACGAAACATAAAAAAAAAATGGCCGACGCCAACTGCACAGCATACTCATAGCCTCTGTATCAAATATGGGCTCCGGAGGGACTCTTTTCTATTGGATAAGACGGGAAGAGCAGCAACCAATCAGTAACTCTGTGCTTGCGCATGCGTAGCCATTGGCCTCCGTCTGGGCCGGTCTGCCATCTCTGGAGACCCTGCCCTGAGCTGTGGAGGACAGCGCTTTGCGCCTGCGCAGTGATGCGGCACTGGCGGGAGCGCGGCAGGAAGGCCTGGCTGCCTGAAGAGGGCGCCCCTGCGACCCGGCGCCCGCCAGCTCCACACTCTCAAGTCCCGCATCTCACGGCTGCCCCAGAAGCCGGGCGCTGACAGCTGCGGGGCCTGCACCCCCGGACGCACAGCGCACCCCTCACCGCTCCTGGAGGCCCTGCCCGAGAGC